AAAGAAAATGAAAACTGCGGTTGCCAACCCGCTTGTCAAGCGTGACAACTATTATATATTTCCATAATATACCCCTTATTAGGCAACCTATGGGGGAGGCCTATGTTCAGCAGCGGACTTTCGACAGACTGTAATAGTAACTTATCCATTGCGTTCCCACGAATAGCGAGGGAAAGGTTTGTCCCCCCCAGCAGAGCCCCGCATGCCAGGGTAAGGCTAGCCTAATTCTGGGGTCGCCCGGTCCCAGGGCAATGTGGCACGCTAACGACTAGGCTTGCCCCTAGCCATGCATCGATCCGCGCGGCAGACGTTGGATTGGCGGAGGGTAGGAATAGGAAAAGGGGAAGAATAGGTGGTGTGAAAAGGAAGAGTAAGGTAAGTTAGGGTAGGAAATAGGAAATGTAGGATATTACCGTCCAGGAGGGCACGGGATAGGACAGTAATAGCTAGGGAAGCCGGGGTCGCATACCCGTATACGAGATAAGCATGGATGAAATAGTGAAAGCGTTGAAAAGTATGAGATTAGGTAAGGCTGCAGAGTATGACAGGATTACCGTCGAGATGCTGAGGACTGGACAGGGCCTGGTGGCTAGTCAGCTGTACCGCCTTTTCAATCTGTGCTGGCGAAATGGGCAAGTACCGGGAGACTGGTGCTAAGCCGTAATCGTGCCATTGTATAAGGGAAAAGGGTCACGGCAGGACTGCATAAATTACCGCGGTATAAGCCTTCTCAGCGTCGTCGGTAAATTGTATGCGAAAGTGTTGATTGAAAGGGTTGTGGATGAAACAGACGAGAAAGTATGGGATGCACAAGCGGGATTTAGAAAGGGAATGGGATGTACGGATCAGGTCTTTTCCTTGCGGTGCATAGCCGAAAAGTATTTGGCTAAAAACAAGAAAGTCTACGGGGCGTTCGTAGATCTAGAAAAGGCCTATGATAGAGTGGTGAGGAATGAATTGTGGTCAGCACTGTCCGTGAACGGTGTGAGTAGTATCCTCATACGAGCATTGCAATCTCTTTATAGGGATTCTACTGCTTGTGTAAGGATAAACGGGGCATACACTGAATGGTTTAATATCGAAAAAGGTGTAAGACAGGGATGTGTAGCGTCACCGTGGCTGTTTAATCTGTTCATGGACAATTGTTTGACAGATTTAAAAGAGAATGAAAGTGGGTTGAGAATGAATGAGTTACTCGTCAAATGTTTTCTCTATGCTGATGACCAAGTATTACTTGCGTCTCCAGCCGAGGAGTTGCAGGAGATAGTAACTGCTATGAGTAGAGCTTTTGTTAGAAAGGGAATGAAAATGAATGTAAGGAAGACGAAAGTGATGGTTTTGGTTCCGACACTCATGTACGGAAGTGAAACTTGGGTATGGCAGAAGAAACATGAAAGCAGAGTAAATGCAGTTGAGATGAGAGCATTAAGAAGTATGATAGGAGTTAAACTGAGTGACAGGATAAGAAATAGTGAGATAAGGAAACGTTGTGGTCTGAAAGAAGATGTAGTGACAAAAATTGAGAAAGGTATGCTGAGATGGTTTGGCCATGTCGAGAGAATGAATGAAGAACGATTGACGAAAAAAGTGTATAAGGCGAGTGTGAATGAAAGTGTTGGAAGGGGTAGACCTAGGCGGACATTTCTAGACCAAATCGGGGACGTCTTGAAAAAAGGCCAGGTCAAGAGTACCCTAAACCGTAGAGCATGTATGAAGGGAATAATGAAAGTGGACGAAGCAAAACAAGTATGTAAGGATCGTAGCAAGTGGAAAGAACTGGTCTCTGCCTACCCCTACGGGAAAGAGGCGTGATTATATGTATGTATGTATGTAATAGTAACCAAGCGCTTGTATATAATTGAGGGTTTTACTTTGTATTATGCATACAATCTGTCTGTCACATTTCGAGTAATTATAATGAGTAACGAAGGGGAAAAACCTAAAGTATGATGCATCGTTTTCACAAGACATTTTTATTTAATCGATTCTACAGAATTATCGTCTGGGTCTAGTTTGAGTGTCGGTTTTACCCAGCGTACTTTCTCTCTAATTTGTTACTCGCTTAAGGCCCATGAAGGGTGCTCAAATTTAACTAGATAAACCCTAAGGTGGACTAAATGTCGGCAGAGCCCTAGACTAGCACCTTATCGGCGCACTTACGGTGGCCATATATTAAAAATATACTTAACTATTAATTTTTCAAATGAACTATATTATAATTAATAACATAGTTTATTTGCAAAATTAAAGAAGCTTCAGAAGAAAAATATTTAAACGTTAGTCTAATGATAGGGCATGGACCGCGAACACGAAAGTTCGTGGGTTCAAATCCGCCATTTGACTGCTGTCGTGAACCACTTCTAACAATAGCATTTTAAGCTTACCAGCAGTGGTTAAAGAGAATATTAGTGATGTTTAATAGCATTACTAGTAATTTTTTATGAAAATATAATAATTAGGACACGTGAGAGGTGAACTTTAACGGGAAATGAGATAGTGAGGGTGATGTAGGAGTAATCGTGTAGAAAGTATAATTCTTTATTTTATGTAATTATAGATAGTTACGTAATTCTTTTTCGTTTGAAAACTTCCACGCGCGCCCCTTTGTAACCTTGCGCCCTTAGGCTCATGCCTATTTTGCGTTGATCCGCCATTGGGTAAACCACGTGTTCTTAAGTTTTAAACTAGTCTTTATAGCTGAATTTATTTAAATTATAAACGTGGACCCCATGTGCGGTGAAGTATCTAAAGGAACTGTGTCCGCGACTGGTCGCCGCTGTTGGTGATAAGAGGGCTGGTTCTTTTCTCGCTCAAAGGCTAAGTATAGCCATTCAGCGGGGAAACGCAGCCAGCGTTCTTGGCACGATACCGCGAGCAGTAGGAATGTATGATAATTTAAGTTATTAGTTTTAGTTTTTTTTTTAATTATAGTTTTTTTATTATTGTATATATATATCATTGTTGTGTAATATAAAGAATAAAAGGTTATTTATATGATGAATAATAAATAGAAAAATGCAAAGTTAACATTTTATTCACCAACCACAGTGTTCTGGTCTCTCTGTTCTATTCATTATCATCATATTTAGAGTCTAAGTCCACTGCTGAACATAGGGAGGCCTAGGAATTTAAGGAATTCCACAAATCAAGGGCTGAGTCACCAGCTCCCATCGACTTCTTGCATCTCTTGCCAGGATGTCACTACGAGGTCTTTACGAGAGGGTTTATGGGGAGGCCTATTTATAGGTTTAGACAGTTTTAGTTATTAGTTAGTTTAGTGCCTGAGCTCAGACTCAAACTCAGTAATAGAATAGAATTATTTTTATCAAATATTGATTACGTGATTTTTATTGAAAGTCATTTTTAATTTTTACCACTGCACTGGTTCTAAAAAACCTCTATCCTGAGAAGAACCAGCAAGAAACCTAGTGGGACTTTTAATAAAAAAAAGCATAACTTATAATATAATATTTATACAATTGTTATGAAAACGTTTAGAAACAGCGTGGTAGTAGTCATCGCATTCCGAGGTTATTTGTAGCGGCACTGTCATCGCGCCACAAGCGAAACATATCGAAGCCTAAATCACGCTATCGAAGTTCCGAAGTAAAAGCAGTATATATAGAGTAGCTCCGAACTACCACTTGGAGCGTTAGCCGCTCCACGAGCAGAATACCTTACCCGGCGGGAGATCTCCCCTTTTCCTTCCATGGCCACAGTGGTGACTCCGTCGTGATATGAACAACGTTTTAACCAAAAACCTTCAAAAACTACAACTTCAAACCTTCGTCATTGTCCTCATGCACCCCGTTCATTCGCTGCCGAGCAGATATTGTCTGAAGTCTTTACCATCTTGCAAGCCATCTAGCTTTACAAAGGTTTATCGCATCCCTATAATTATATTACTTCCTGTTCCTTCAAGCTACTGCCTGCGCTATAGTGTTCGGCACGGCTCTGAGCCTTACTGCTCGCCTCTGTTTCACGGCATTCTCACAGATTACTTGCCTTCTTCTCGACTCACCCCAGACTACAAGGCAATTCCCTGTCACTTGCACATTCGTCGACATGTAGACTGCACTATCGGCTTCCGGTCTGAGCAGCGGGGTCATGTGGTGGCGCTGTCGTCGCGCCACAAGCAAAACATAACGAAGCCTACATCGTTCTATCAAAGTTCCGAAGTAAAAGTAGTGTAATATACATATAGAATAGCTCCGAACTACGAGCACTCGGAGTCTAGGCCGCTCCCTGGGCAGAACACTTTGCCCGGAGGAAGATCTCCCCTTTTCCTTCCACCGGTCATATATTTATCAATCGTGTACTCTGTAGTAGTATAATAACCCTTATTAAATAATTTTTACTTAATAAATATTTTAAACCTTTTGATAGATAAGGTCTGCATATTTTCTAGGACTTTGTTTTAAAAGCGTATACATTGCCCCATGAAGGAATTACTGGCTCTTTGTAGTCGGGTAACTGGTATAACTAACTTGTGCATGTTCCTAGTATTTACAGAACGTACATCACTATTTTCGATAAAACTATTTTTGTTTTTGTGTTTACATTAAGTTCTCTTAAATATTTATTTCTTTAAAATTTTCTCTAAGCGATTCCCTCGGACCCAGCGGAAAGGAATTTTAAAAAGGAATTCCCGCATAGATCAATATTTGTATGGCCTATAAATAATTGTACTATGTGGTGGTTTATGTGAAATTTATGTATTATGCGTTTTACTAGGAGTTTTCTTCCCCCCCCCCCCCCTCGACTACGCCATGGAATCGTTTACCACCCACGAATTATTTCAGACTGATAGGGACCTTCAAGAAACGGGCTTTCTCCTGTTTAAAAGGTCGGCATAATTCTCCTGTCCATCAGATGAGCCGGATGCTCGATTGCCCCCTCTTCTATAAAAAAAAAAATAAAATGCCTTCACAATACAGGACTAGTTTCTAATGTGGGAGTACCTGACATTAAACAATTTTTTTAAATTTTACTTTTTCCAGGCCAGTAACCATAAGAACAACATCGATGTACACAATGGCGAAACCATTCAACCCACGCAACCACTGTTAGAACCACATAGAGAGAGACAGAAACCGCCTCTGGCTGGTAAGCGTGGTTTTTTTTTATAGAATAAGGATAACAATCGTATAAGAAGAATTAGTTAGAATAAAGGTAGCATTCGAATCAAACGATTTGCTAAATCGTTCGTCATGCCGTGTGACCGTACGTACCGTTTTGAAGGGGACTCTCCCTTTTCTCGGTCACTTGTCCCGTTGTCCCCAAACAAAGCTCCGGGACACAAAATTGTCCCGTTTTCCAAAACCTAATACTATGCACTACTAATAAACATAATTTTTTTAATTTAATATATTTTATGTTTACCTGGTAACAAATGCTCCAGTAAAAATAGTATTATTCTATTTTGTATAAATTGTGGACGTCTGAAAAAAACACTTACGGTTCCAATTCTAAAGGCGATGTTGATAACAAAGGTATATAAGAAAAAAATTGCCCAGAATTTTATTCTTATTTAAAATCATCACCAACTTTATCAAAGCTTTGTTCCACTGACAAAATGTAAATAATAATAAAAAAAATATGTTGCATTTAATAATTACCGTCTGAGAAACTTTGCTTTAATGAAGCTGGTGAAATGGTGATTGATTTTTATTTTTCACAATTTGTTATAATAAAAATAATTATAATTAATGTGAATATAATTTTATAGTGAACACTAATTGTATAAAGTTATAGTTTTTAGAGTATAAATAAAACCAATGTCCCGTTTTGAGTTAAAAAATAAATGGTCAGTTCATGCGTACAACAAAAGAATGGAATAATTTGCCAGCATCTGTCTTTCCGTCCGATTGCAATGTGGGTGTCTTCAAGGCAAGAGTATTAACTCTTAATAGGCTTTTATTAAGTCAGTGCGATTCACCATTTTCGGCTGCATCATCTTTAACACTAGGTGGGATAGCAGTCAAACGCTGGCTTAGAATAGAAAAGAGAAAACAAACGAGCACACAGTCACCTGATGGTTATTAAAAAGACGCTGCTGCCCGTTTCCAGATTTTTTTCCCTCTGTCGCCTCTTACGACACCCACGGGATGATATGGGCTAGTGGATACATATAATAATTGTTCCGGTTTTTTTTATAGGATCGGGTGACAAACGAGCACACAGTCCACCTGATGGTAATTGGTTACTGCGACCCATAGACATCTACATCTATCCTCAATAAAAACTCAAGATGCAGATGCATTGTCACCCGTGAGGACTAAGATGGAATGCCTCTTTGCCAGTAAAAAGGGTCTCCGGTTCTCTACACTCATCATACGAAACACAGCAGCGTTAAGCCGCTATTTTACGCTGGTTTTCTGTGAGAGCGTGGTCCTTCCCCGGTTGATCCGACCCATTCGTGCTACAACCATAATATAGCTGCAGCATGGGTCTACCACGTACGTCTACCACTCAGGATGTTTGTGTGTTTGCAATTTATGTATGCCTCCACTATACAATACTAGCTCGGTTTTATCATCATGATATTTATGATGATGAAATCGAGCTCGACCCTCGTCGGCATGAACGATTTTTTTTTAATTTACTACGTGCTTGATCCTACCTACCATGCTGGGATGTAGTGTAAGTAGCATGGATACAATTACGATGTGACGGCGATGTCTTTGCGCTACAATAACGTAAAATGGACCACACAACAACCGAAGCATAAATCACGCTATAGAAATTTTCGAACATTTAAATACAAGCTCCGTAATAACTAAAAACATACAAAGCTTCTGGCGGGGGATCTCCCCTGTTTCCGACGCGGCCAACACCACCAAAACACACACAACCAGACTTAAAAGTTAAAAGTTTTGAATAATGTGGACTCTAGCTATTATTACAAGACAGGGTTATCATTATCATCATCATCATTACAGCTCTTCACAAGTCTACTGCTGAACATAGGCCAGTAGGCCTACCCCAAGAACTACATCCATCAACGTTTTGCATGTCTTATCAGTTCGTCACTCCACCGGTACAAGGCTGCCACTTGAGAACCTTTCTTCCCCATCGGTTGTCGGTTCTTCGAGCTATATGGCCGGCCCATTGCCACTTCAGCTTACTAATCCGTCGGTTACTCTGGTTCTATTGCGGGTATCCTCATTTTTAAGTCTATCAAGCAGAGAAACCCCGACTATAGGCCTCTTGATAGCTTGCCGACTGACCTTGAGGTTCCTCATATGGCGATTAAATACAAAAATAAATTCTTACACAAGCTGAATATGATTATAATTGGAATTACTGTAAATCAGGCCCTGAAATCGATGACTTGGACGACGGGAAGCCCACAGACGCAGCACCGTACCCTGGTATCGACGACGGACTCCTCGAGCCGGGAGAGACGAAACCTGACGGATACGATGATGGTAAGGATGCAACGATATTTATGCAGAAAAATTACGCATCAAAATTCCGAGCATAGCCTTCTCCAAAAAGAGTAACAAACGAGCACACAGTTCACGATTGTAAGTTTAAAATAAAAATAAAAAAATAGTCCAACGAACCGAGTTTAATTCGCACTGGCACCAAGAAAATTGTTGATTGTAATTTAATTATTTTTTATAAAAAAAGCGTGACAAACAAGCACACTGTCATCCTGATGATAAGTGGATGCTGCGGCCCATAGATTTCTACAATTATCTTCTATAATATAGCTGCAACGTGGCTCTATAACGTGTAAAAGCTCGCTTGTACTTACGCAGCACTACTGTTATCTTTCTTTGTAGGTCTGACCCCAAGATACCTACTAATATTGATAAGTACAAATATAGACAAATGGATAAATACTAGTCCTGACGAAGCAGTTATGAATTACATCACCGGAATACTTTTAAATGCTTAAAAATTTTTGCGAATAAATTACATATTTAACTTGTGTTGATGAATCATAAAAAATATATACAATCGAAAGTTTATCTTTCCACCGCGTTCTGCGGTCTCTTATCATCACGAAAACAATAAACAATGTCTTCATTTATAAACATGTCACCTAAATTGGCGCCTTGTTAATTAAATGCAAAATTGTAAAGATTAAGGAATACAATAAAGAATAAAGAAATAAATTCTATAAACAGCCAACTAACTTATTAGCCTTTCAGTTAACAGCCTAGAGATTACATTGCATGGTCACCCTATTAATTTCATTCAACGAGACGGTCGCTGACTGGTGTCTAATTAGCGCTTAGGGTGCCCCAAGGATCACTCATTTATCTGTTCTGTGGTCACCCCAGCTGCACCTCAGCGTACTGTCACTGATATTACAAGATATATTAGACGCATCTGAATATCATTTAGGCCGATAGTTGAACGGCGCCGTTTAGTAAAAAGACCAGACTTTTAACTGAAAGCCTAACATGCTAGCTAGCTATGACATATATTATGTCATACGTATATCAAAACTCATAACCGGGCAAAACCACTTTAGACTGTACAAAATCAGGCAAAAGGCCATTGGTCAAATCTACTTTTAACTGCAAAAATACTGGGTAATAGCGATTTTGACCAAATTACATCGGATAAAAGTGGTTTGCACCAACAACGTTAGTGAAAACTTCTTTTGACTTATACTTTTTGAATTTCTGAAATTAAAAGGTTCAATTTCTTCAATATTATATTTTAATAACATTATAATGTACAATGCTTTAGGGTGGCCAAATGGCCACCCCAGCCGCACCTTAACCTATTGTTACTGATATTACGAGTAATGACCGGTAGTATGAAGTTTAAATCAGACAACACGACTTTTGACTAGGAACGTTGGTTAAAACTACTTTTGACTACAAAAATCAGTCAAAACTGTTTTTGATTAAGGGCATCGGTCAAAACCATTTTTGCCTGATTTTTGCAGTCAAAAGTAGTTTTGACCTGTTATGAGTTTTGACTATGACATATGCAATAGAAATATATATGTATACATTGTTATCATTTGGTTACCTTTGTTGTAAGTTTGTTATATATCTATTTGTATTTAAAATATTTATTTTTATTTTTTGCACCTATCACATTATTTCCACACGTACCCGGTTGACTGGGAGAGAAAGCCAAAAAGCATTAAGTCCGCCCTTTGTAATCCTTTGAATTAAGGTGTACATAATGGGTAATAAATAAAATATATATTCATAGTAACATAACATTATAATATATACAATATTTATTAAATTAATTAAAAAAAATACAGTGCCTAGGACCCTGGTCGCGTTTCCTCGCTGAATGGCTAGTTACAGTTAAACTTAGCCTTTGAGCGAGAAAAGAACCAGCCCTCTTATCACCAGCAGCGACAACCAGTCGCGGATATAGTTTCTTCAGGAACTTCACCGCACGTGGATAGACCGGACCGATAGTCTCTAACAACAAATATGTAGCCATCTCTCAGAGACATATATTTGCGCTACTTACTTACTTCAGCTGTCTCTGATGCCGCCCTTGCTTTAATTGAGATACCCTTGAGATGAGAGACTGCCAATGTGTCTACGCAAGTAGCATCCCACACTAGAGTTTACCTCTGTCCCAAGGAACCAGTCTTACCGTCGGGTCTCCTGCCATCGCCTCCAAATATATTCCACGAGGCTCTAAAACCGAGGGAACATTTATAAAGACAAAAATCAATATATTGTTATCTTATTTTTATACGAGGCAGACAAAGTCAGTGAGGATAGATGTAGGTGGACTGTGTTTTCCTTTGTGTAAAAAAATTAAAAATATATAAAATAATAGATTAAATATGATTAAACTGAACAAATTGAACCAACACTATACAACACTAAATAATAATAATTTGAATAGAATAGAATATAATAATTTTTATTTAGTATAGAGAGAGATATCTTTTAAATTTTATCACTGATTCGGAAAAAACCTCTGTCCTGTGAAGAACTTTTTTTAAACATTAATTTACATTATAATATTTCGAATAAAATTATTTTTACGGGTTTTATTGCGGATTACAGCAACCCATGGTCACGAGGGGGAAGAACCTGACACGTCGGGAATTAAAATAAGCAAATTAAACCCGATAAAATCCGTAAACATAGTTATATTCAATGTGTAACTCTTTAGTAATTTATTAATATACTAGCTGTGCCCGCGGCGTAGCTCGCGTATACAGGTTTTACATAAACAATTTGTCGTTTAGGTAAGAGAATATTAAACGATTTATTTCATTACTGTATCAATAAGTGATAAGTAAATAAATCATTATCATCAAAGTTCTAAGTCGTTTATGATAGAGCTTCTGTGTAAACGACGTTAGAAGTAGGCTTAGCCGAGGTGTACACAAAAAGGTTACGGGGGCTACTAACGTGGGAAAAAGCAACATAGAGTTGGCCATGTGCAAAACAGGCAGTACTGAGGTACACTCCTACAACGCGTAAAGTTTGACCTTGCGCTTTATTTACGGTCATCGCATAACACACGCTCACTGTAAGCGTGTCAAAAAAACTCATTCAGCTCTAGGACAACACAAAAAGCGCTAGATTTCATGAAAACAGCGCTTTAAAAAAGCCCTAGATTTCGCGCTAAATTAACTACAAACAAAGTTTGTGTTTTTTTATATAATCATAATAAAGAAAACAACATTAAGTTTTTTTTCTGGCAATATTTTTTTGATGTATCAATACTTCGCAGGACATCGACTTATAATTATGGCAATTGCTGTCAACAGTAGTTAGTACTGTACGAACAATAAAAATGTCATTAATTGTTTTAAAGTGCAATGTATTTCGCAACTTAGTTTCAGATGTCAGCATCTGATTGCGGTTGCTCGACAGTTTCTTTGTGTTATAACTTCTAAGTAACTTTTAACTTAGCTGTGCTCTAAGCAACTGACTGAAACTGAATAAAGCAAAATAAATGCGTTGCCAAAACCATGAACGAAAACTTTAATAAAGGGGATTTCCCCGCTTATAGTCTTCGGTAAAAAAATCAAGTTGATCATCCTAAAGGGGAAGCCAGGAGATCCATAGCACAGGGTATCCTAGTTTGGACTCGTCTCCCATGCTCTTTGTTTTGTGGAAAAAATATGTTTCAAAAAGATAAACTACAATGTACTATTTGTGGGAAAAAAATAATAAAGGTCATTATTATTATTATCGGTAATGTGGACTAACAGTGCTGCTATAAAAGAGTTAATAACCCGCTAGTCGCTAAAATATTGAAATGTGTGCTAAATAGCTAAATACACCAAAAAGCGCTGGATTAAGCTAGGTGCTAAAATTTCGAAATGCGCGCTATACATTCCAAAAAAAAACGCTAAATCTAGTTCCCAAAGCGCTAAAATGGCAGTACTGATTTTGCGTATATTATAAATACAATATCACGACATTTCGTTGCAAAATGTTTATTTTTGGTCGGATTCCGTTGTATGGCTTCGATGGATACAAATTTCTTCAGTAAGTCTCAATACGATTCATCGGCGAAAAATCTCAACACAGCAATTCAGAAAAGTTTGTAATTTGTACAACTCCATCTATTACGTCCTTTGTGTGAGAAAACATCCTTTTTAAATCTCTTTTTGTGTTTTAAGTATAAATATATTAATTATTATGGAACGTTTTTTTACACACAAATCTTTTTATTACTATTTCTGAGATTTTATGGCGCCATTGAACAAATTCGAACCTACATTTCAAAATAATAATCATTACTTTCGATAGAATTAACCAATTTTAATAAACTTTGTTTTATTAAAATTGGTAAATTAAATGTAACTCGGAAGATACTCTTTATGATTTTCTTAACGATTTCTTTGAAAATAAAAGATGTTTACTTTAGACGTGATGCGTTCATATAATAACAGACAAATAGACATACAGACAATTCTAAAAATTATAAAATGTTCTTATTTAATTATTTTCAGTTCCCCATAATGATTTTAGCCACCAAAATATATACCTATACAATGTACAGAAAGAGACACAACATGTTATCATCATTTTTATTGTATGTATATATTTAAAGAGAGATGGCGCTGCTAACATCAATTCTAAAAATAAAAGAGATTAATTGACGCGATTGATACATTATATAAAACGCAAGAGACCTTATAAATCAGTGCCTGCTCAGTAAGCAAAAAATAAAGTTTGACTCTTGCCAAAACCAACGATTTGTTAATAGCTCTTTTAAAATTTGATTTACCACATAGAGTACTCGGCGGTAAAGAATAAATTGAGTTTGTCAACACGCAGTAGGGCAGCGAGTAATATAATAAAGATTAGCAGTAAATATGAAAACTCATCTACAGGAAAAAACCACATTGCAATTGCATTACATTTTCACAACACCACCATCTATCGAAGAAATGGGAAAACTATTGTGCTTCAGATTTAGTTAATAAGGTTAATATATTTTTTTATAATATATTTAATACGTTCTTTAATACTTTTGTTTACTGCGTTTTAGATATACATAATTATATCATTATTTTACATAATTTAAATATGATTTATGATATGATATTAGTTTAAAATGCACTTGATGACTCAAACAAAGCCACCGTTGAGCAAATTCGTACCTATACTTCCCTAACCATACTTCAGAATATTTATCATAACTTTTGATGGAATGAACTGATTTTAATGAAATAAAGACTAAATGTAACCCGAAGATACACTTTATAATTTCCTTAACAATTCTTATGATATAAATTAGTACTTTATACGTGATACGTTAACAAAAAAACAGACAGACAGACAGACAGACAGACAGAAAATTCTAAAAATGGTAGAAATGTATTTAATTACTTATTTTTAGTACCCCTCAATCACTTTTATTACAAAAATATAAAATGTACAGACATCTGCTATTTACAGTTTTATTATATGTATAGAAGATTAGATAGGTCATGTATATTTAGATTTTATTTACTAATTATGTTCAGTAGGTACTAATGTTCAAAAGTGGTTAAACACCAAACAATTGCTGGTTTGTACTCAGACCAGTTGCAAGTGGGTTATCTGGCCATGGAAGTAGGATGTGGTAGACCGCGCGATAACGTTTGTAGTCCGAGTGGCGTTATTGTGTCAATTTTTAATTAGGCTTGTGTTGGTTATTATTGCTATTAAACTCCAGGTGAATGGTGTCGGCGGGGAGGTTATATAAAAGTTGGGTAAAGATGACTCCATTCACTACAACCGTAAGACGAGTTAGTACGATTCTAAACCCAATACAATCGTGGTATCGTACAGACGAGGGAACAACAATATCAATAGTTTTACAAGATAGCAAACTTGCTGTTGTATTTCGTATGGTGAGTGTAGAGACCCGGAGACCCTTTTTACTGGAAACGAGGCAATCCATCTTAATCCTCAGGAGTGACAATGCATATGCGCTTTGATTTTCAATCGAGCATAAATGTAGATGTCTATGAGCGACAGCATCCACTTATCATCAGGAGGACTGTGTTTGTAACCCTTATTATATAAAAAAAAAGTTTGATTAAAATTATCTACGTTACAAATACTTCCATAAGAAACCTAATGTTTGAATTTTCAGATGGCGGGGAGAAGAGCACCAGAGAGGGCTCCGGTCACCGGACGGTTGACGACGGAGTCGGAACTGAAGACGGTAAATGGCCGTGGCACGACACCGACGAGACTGACTATCCTTACGGTGACTGGTCGCACTCACACTCACTCACCACTCACCCTACCATTTCACCCAAACAAGCAACCACATATCTCACCCTATATCACCACATCTCAAACACATGTTTTTTTTCTTTAGTGGTAGGGCACCCCTTCTTTAAGAGTATGCCTGGGTTCCCTTTTTTTGCTGCCAAGAACACAGCTTCTCCCATCCTACCACCACATTGCTTAAACTCGTACCTACTCAATTGCTCACATTTTCACTCAATAAACTTATGGAAGCAAAGATCGGGGACCAACATTCTTCAAATCGCAGTTACATACATAAACTCTTACCAGTCATTCATCACCGAATTTGGACAAAAATGTCCCGCACTGGACGAGTAATAGTGGTCAACAATATCCAGTTCGGGAATAATATCCAGAAATTTTTCCGTATGCCATTTATGCGTGTAAACTGCCACGATAGAGCATACTACTTCCTAGTCTGAGTAACCTTTTTTTTAAATCCAAACCATTTTATTTACATGTATTCTTCTTCTTCTCTTATCAGCCCATAACGTCCCACAGCTGGGCAAAGGCCTCCCCAAATTTTTTTTACCTTTCACGGTTCTATGCTATGGAGGACCAGTCTTCCATGAAGGAGTCCAGTTCATCCCGCCATCGTTTTGTTAGTCTGCCTCGGAGTCGTCTGTCATTTATAGGAGTCCACCGAGTTATAATTTTGGCCTAAAGTTCTTCTGACATACGGCAGATATGACCGGCCCAGTCCCATTTTAGTTTGGCGGATTTACGGGAGACGTCAGTGATTTGGGTTCTGGAGCGCAGAGTGGTATTTCTGATGCGCTCCATTGCTCGCTGACACACCACGAGATCGGACCTCTGCTGTTTGGTGAGAGACCAGGTTTGGGCTCACATTTTGTCAGTGCTTGATATACAATTTTTTCATAAGGATTGGTGATAAAGTCAACCATCATCATCACATCGGATGTTGTAAGATTCGATTATGGGGGATTTTATAAAGTTTTTGTGGGTTTCTTGATGGCGGTATAACATCTCGTATAATACACTAAATGTAAACCCCAGTAATTAACCTGATCGATGGCGGGAAGCTTGACCTATCACTGTACTGGTATTGTGCCAATCAATCTGCCAAGAGTCACCAATGACCCGGCCAATACTTACTTGTTATAGAATAGGATATTCTACTATTTTCACTAAGTCATCGGATCATTGTAATATTGAATGATTAAACAACAGTAAAAATACCTAGGTAATCGATTTCCAATTTGCAATCTCATTAGGTATAAATATGTAAGTAAAATTAATGCACTGAACTGTATGTAAATTTACTTCCTACTTGTACAAATACATCGTTAAACGGGTTGCATTAATAGCTCGACCCGTTCATTGAAGGTATATTGCATGTTTCCACGTTACCGGTTAAGAAATCGCCAAGGTCACACAATAATTGTCCTAGTGGCTCAGTCTTTAGTGTCGTGTTCACTATTTGATTATTAACATACGCGGATGCATGTAACTTTTTATAGATATTTTATTATGTCGCTTTAACTACTGTGATTTTTTTTCTGAAATTTTAATTTTATTATTTTCTATTTATTATATATAGTTGTTTAAGTCACCTGCCAGAAATCTTTCACCACGCCATGGATTATCTGACAGAGAATGCTAAATGACATTAAGTCCGGTACGAGGGCTGCACTAAAAGTATCGGGAATGGAATATTTCCACTGTTCCTGTCATATTAATTTTTTTTAAATTGAAAAATCCTTAATTTTAAAAATCGAATACCATTTATTTATTTAAAAAAAGATTCTCGGTCTTGTCACAAGGTTTTGTCAAACTTGTTTAGTCGTTGAGAAAATGGAATTGACTCGGGAAAATTCAAGACCGATGATTTATTATAACTTTCGAAGTGGTTTAACACAAAAACAGTGTGTTGACTGGATGGTTTCTACATTTGGTGATGAAGCCCCATCCAAAACCACAATTTATCGCTGGTTTGCTGAATTTCAACGTGGACGTGTCAAGCTCAGTGATGATCCCCGTCAAGGTCGTCCAAAAACTGCAGTCACCCAAGAAAACGTTGATGTTGTGCGTAAGCTGATTGAGGAAGATCGACATGTGACATACCGCGAAATTCAGGCAACTTTAGACATTGGCATGAGTCAAATTCAAATAATCTTGCATGAATAATTAGGTGTAAAAAGTTGTTTTCCCGATGGATACCGCATTCGCTCTGTGAAGGGCAAAAAGCGGCTCGCGTTACTTGGTGCGTCAGAACTCTCGAAAGATTCCACGCAGGATCCTCAAATACTGTATACAACATCGTATCAGGTGACGAATCCTGGATATATGCGTACGAACCCGAAACAAAAAACCAGTCACGAGTTTGGGTGTTCGAAAATGAGTTAAAGCCAACAAAAATTGGTCGTTCACGAAGTGTTGCAAATAAAAAGGGTGGCCACGTTTGTCTCCAAAACCGGCCATGTTACCGACTATTCCTCTTGGGGGACAAAGAACAGTTAATGCAGAATGGTATGCTAGCATTTGTTTGCCACAGGTCGTTTCTGAACTCCGTAAAGAGAACTGCAAACGCCGCATCATCCTCCATCACGACAATGCGAGTTCTCACAACGCACACAGAACAAAAGAGTTTTTAGAGCAAGAAAACATAGAATTATTAGACCATCCGTCGTACAGCCCCGACCGAAGCCCTAATGATTTCTAGTAGTAGTTTTAATAGCAACACATATTTCCTTCCCGCTATTTTTTTGTTTTTCTGTCCGCCAAAATGATTGAATCTAACGAAGTAATTCAATACATTCTGAAGTTTTATTACAAATAAAAACCGGCCAAGTGCGAGTCGGACTCGCGCACCGAGGGTTCCGAACAAATCCGTAGGTATATAAGTTTAAAATTATTAAAAATATTTTTATTATATGATGTAACTAAAACTTTATGCTTTTCGCAATTTTTCCTTTATCTGTGCTTTATACATTGCTTCTTACTAAATTTTAAGATTCTGAGTTCACGGGAAGTACCTACCTATTTATCCTCGATTACGAATCAAAATGCAGATGCGTTGTCACCCGTGAGGACTAAGATGGAATGCCTCGTTTCCAGCAAAAAGGGTCTCCGGTTCTCTACACTCACCATACGAAACACAGTAGCATTAAACTGCTATTTTACGCTGGTATTCTGTGAGAGCGTGGTTCTTCCCCGGTCGAGCCGACCCATTCGTGTTACAACTATACCAGAAATATAGCTGCAGCATGGCTCTACTACGTATGTAGCATGGCTCTACCACGTATACCTCCACGCGTTCCTGAGAAAAAGGGTCTTGACAGACGGACAGACGGACAACAAAGTGATCCTATAAGGGTTCCGTTTTTTTCTTTTGAGGTACGGAAAAAGGGGAAAATGTGATTCAAGCCGCAAAAAAATTTGTGGCGTTATGGACTTAATGCATTGTCAGCAAGAGTACTAAAAAGTTGATTCGAGCGCCTTCAGACCATCTTCAGACCGGGAATTTTGATATCAAAGATGAAGCTCACTTTGGGCACCCTCATACGTATAAAGTCGATGCGATTTTTGAAGATATGGAACAAGAGAGCAAGATATTAGTAATCACGACATAGCCGAGGAATTGAGGACTGACCACAAAACAGTTTTGACCCATTTGGAAAAGTCTGGTTATACAAAAAAGCTCGATATATGGATACCACACGAGCTCACTGAAAGAAACCTAATGAATCGTGTACTCATTTGCAATTCTCTATCGAAACGTAATGAAACCGAACTATTTTTAAAAGATTGATCACTGGTGATGAAAAGTCGAGTACCTACGACAAGAACGTGCGAAAAAGGTCATGGTCAAAGGATAGTCATGTTCCACAGACTGTAGCGAAACCCGCATTAACACGCAATATGATGATGCTGTGTCCGCTGTGCTTTTACCGCCGGGCAAAACCACCGATTCGGACAACGACAATTAATGAGACTCAAGCGAGAAATTGAGAAAAACCGGCCGGAATTGATCAACAGGAAAGGAGTTGTCTCTCATCACGATAACTCCAGACTACACACTCTTTAGCCACTCGGCAAAAATTGAGAGAGTTTGGTTGGGAAGTGTTAATGCATTCACTCATGTAGTCCTGACCTTACACCCTCAGATTTTCACCTGTTCCGGTATCTTCAGAATTCTTTGGGTAGTGTTAGGTTAACATCAAGAGAGGACTGTCAAAACTACTTGTCGCATTGTTTAGATCAAAAATCACATTGAGTTATATGTACTACGTACTAGAGAAGCCATTCCGAACATTGACTATGTTCAACTGAACTGTAGTACAATCCATACAAACTAAATATTGCGTAAATTGAAGATTTGTGAATTCCATAAAATAATTATTATTACATTTTACTTAGATATATGTTTGTTTAGATTAAATTAAGATATTTTATATTAAATTCTTATGTTTATTTTATATTAATATCTTATTTTATATTAAATTAGTCTTCAGGCATGCGCGACTACTACTCCTGCGCATGCGCGAAGACATAGATTAGGACACAATTTTTGTTTGGAATGGCTTCTCTAGTACGTAGTACATATAACTCAATGAAAAATCACAAGATTTCTACAGCAACGAGATTATGTCACTACTTACAAGATGGTAACAAGTTATCGAACAATATGTCACATAATAATTAAATGTAATTAAACTTAGAAAAGAATTCTTTAATTTGTAAATAATAAAAAAAATTAAAAATCAAATGGTTTGTAAAAAGGAAGAGTACTTCACGGTCACATTGGGGTATGGTCACACGAGTGTGTGATGATATCCTTTCCTTGATCACATAAGTATGTGACATTAAAATTGAATACAGTGTATTCCGTGATATGTATTGTTTTACTTTACTATTAGTTCAAAAATATTACTTCATCCAGACTACCCAGAAAGAAATCCAGCACTATTTTAAATAAAAATATATTTTCTTATCCAATATTTTTGAGGTCAAAACAATAATTGAGCAACTCAAGAGTAACATGCTAACTTTAACGAGGTAATAAAAATTACTACATAATTATTGCAATTATAGGTAAGTATAGTTTTGTGTTAAAGTACTACAGTAAAATTAAATAATTAAATCCATCATTATCACAAAATACAAAGGATTTATATCTAAGGAAACAACAACAAGCATCCGCTTGATGTTTGACTATGAAACGAAATTATGATTTCCTAGGAAGGTAAAATAAAGAGTTTTCATTATCACTTCTGGGCACAGACCTCTAATTATATTCCTGAGACGGTTATGGATGACGTGACCATTTATTTTTCTCTCTGAGGGTACGGTTACAGGTCGCCCTTAAATAATTATAATTTTTAAACAATCATATGATGAGTAATGTCCTTTTAGGGTTCCGTACCCAAAGGATAACCAAAGGTTCCCCATTACTAAGCCTCCGCTGTCCGTCCGTCTGTCTGTCAGCGGGCTGTATATCTATGATCCGTAGACATAACGTGTATTTTCTGTTGCCGCTATAACTCCTCCCCTACTAGAAACGTGTATTACGAAAAAAAATAAAAAGTTTCTTTCTATCTTACTTTCCTTCTATATGTTTATAGAAAGCTTAATGATTAAAAAGAGAAAATGAGAACTAATCTCAAACAGTGTGGTAGGTGGACTAGCTAGATACATTTGCCAGAATAACAAATTTGCGTTAACAGTTTCCCTGTCTGCAAAATAGACACAATAGTTAACCAATCAAAATGTACATATATGATTCATGGGGCAGGGAAAGGGTTATAGAATAGAAGAGAATAGAATCATTTTTATTCAATATAGATTACAAACATAATACCTATTGAAAGTAATTCTTTATTTTTACCACTGGTTTACAAAAATAACTCTGCCCTGGGAAGAACCAGCAAGAAATTCAGTGGGGCACACTTTATATTATAATATTATATACAATTATTATGAACACATTTAGAAACAGCATGGTAGCGACCACCTCATTCCACCAGGGGTTATTTATCAGTCATATACTCTTTAGTAGTATAATAACCCTTACTAGGCAATTTTTGCTTAATAAATAATTTAAACCTTTTGATAGGAAAGCTCTGCATATTTTCTGGGACTTCTAATTCATAAATATGTCAGGTTTCTTTAGTTAAATGTAAATATGGAACTGCTGGCATGACTTGTTGATGTTATCTTTTTCATTGATTGTTATCTATCTTTTATTATTGGGACTTACATTCTTCTGACTTATTCTTGTGTGGTCGTATTGTTGGTAGATTTTTATATGACCTTGAAGTATTGTATTTTACGTGGTAGAGCCATGCTGCAGCTATATTAATAGTATATTTGTAGCACGAATGGGTCGGCTCGACCGGGGGAGGACCACGCTCTCACAGAATACCAGCGTAAAATAGCAGCTTAACGCTGCTGTGTTTCATATGGTGGGGGAACCCTTTATACTGGATACGAGGCAATCCATTCTAGTCTTCAGGAGTGACAACACATCTGAATTTTGATTGAAGATAATTGTACTAATCTATGGGCCGCAGCATCCACTTACAATCAGGATGATAGTGTGCTCGTTTATTCTAAAAAAATATATCAGTTTTATCTTTAATAATTTCTTATATTTACGCGAACACTACACTTTTAAATAAAACTAGTTTAACGGATTCTATCGCGTTTAATTAACTTATTTTTTTTATTAATTCTCGACGTTTCGGGTGCTTTACAGCACCATGGTCACGGGGGACTGAGGTGAGGACTTCAGCTTTTTTAATTATTAATTTTGGTCCGATCTACGCAGAATGAACTTACTGTGTCTTGAAGTCTTGCAGTGGTATGCTTGGGTTTATTAATTATAGGATCCCATAGTACGCAGCCTCCCTCTTTATTGAAATTAGTATGTTTTTTTTTTAATTTCAAAAGTCGTAAAGCACCCGAAACGTAAATTAATATACGCGATAAAATCCGTTAAACTAGTTTTATCTTTATAAAAGTCCACTGCTGAACATAGGCCTCCCATTGATTGCCTCGTAGGGGGATTTAGCCATGGTTGCCATTGTTGCCAACATGATTTTGGCAAGCGGGTTGGCAAAGGCAGTTTTTTTTTTGATTATTTAGAGTTGTTATCAGGAAAATGCTGCTGCTCATCTCCTGTTCCACTTTCTCCTGTGACCTCTTACGACACTCATGGGACGATATGTGGTAGTGGATATTCTTAAGGAAGGAATTCAAAAATTTAAGGAAATTTATATACAAGTATTAACTTTGGCATCTCAATACATTTATGAAAATGTAATGTACGTACACAAAAATAAAAGTAGTTTTACAAAAATAAGTGATATTCATTCTGTAAATACTAGAAACAGACACAAGCTAGTAGTACCAGTTACTCGACTCCACCGATACAGTATAATTCATTTTTGGTGCGATGTATACGATTTTACAACAAAATCCCAGAAAGTATACAAAATTTGACCTGCTCAAAGTTCAAAAACTTTATTAAACTAAGTTTGTATAAGAAGTGTGTTATTATAATATTAAGGAATTTTGTTGTTAATTGTGTAACATACAAGATTGTAAGCTGTTATTTAAAAAAAAATTCAATAAGTGTTATTTATAATCTATATTGAATATAAAAGTTCCTGTTTCTGTTTCTGTTTCTTACGCCGCCAATACTACTATGCTCGGTGTTAAATCAACACATTGTTTCTAATGTTATTTGTTGGACTTGCAACCACAGAATATTTTACTCCTAGCGGAGACTTGCAACCAAATGGAAAGTTAATGAACATAGAACTTAGTGCATATGATTTTTAAGCATAGGTTAATGATAAGTCATCGCGCGGTCAGAGCGTTATCAACTTATCGTTAATCTATGTTTGTAAGTATTAAATTACAGACAGGACCAGTCCACCGCTAGGCACTGACGCCTTGTAAAAGCAATTATGTAAGTAATATAAATTACAACTTCGTGTTTTTAATCATTATAGATGGTGTAAACGGATTCGGTACTCGATTTGGCATTGACGATAGACCCGGCTCGCCTTTCCCGCCAGGAGTGAGTATTTTTATGATATCACTGTTTCCAACCTTGGTACGCATTAATGTGAAAGCTTGAGGGCTTAGTTAATATTAATAGTAACGTCATTGATCACGGCGGCCTGTCTAAAGCAAAAGCTCTATGCGCAAGCACAGGCGCACTCTTTATTCCCTTTCATAGTCCGATAGGAAATCAATCCCACACGACCGGAGTGGGATGAAACACCACCGACTTCCTGACTCTGGACTGCTCTTAAAAATTTCCTGATAGAAAAATATCAATATCGGTTTATCTTTTGGACGTATATACCGGGACTTCAGGATGAGCTGGCGCGCTCCCGATTAGGTCAACGGGGCAGTCAAATCAAAGACAGGGAGGATAGATGTATAATGATGATTTAGTCAATTAATGATTAGTATAATTTCTCGCAGCTGTGTCTCTCGGTTGTTTAGCTTGGTTGTTCGGGCACAGCTACTCGTACAAGGACACCTTTGAATATATAGCACTAGTTCAAGCATTTTATAATTGCAATTAAATATTTTATTTGATAGCAATGGATGGAAACATTGGCATAATTAATGGAGTACTTTTATCTGTCGGCATATTACGTATGATGTAGAGCGAAGTTAAGTTTTATCCACTTTCCCTCCCCCTCCCGGATGAGCAGTTCTCGCAGTTCTCACCGGGCGGCTTGGGTTTATGTGTCGTTCGCGCGTCCAGCCAAGTATTCAATTATTTTAATTTTACATTATCTCTTAGACTATGCGTCCAAATAACATGGTATAAAGAACAAAGTTTATCGTCATAAAATTGTCTTGATGATGAAGTAACTTTCGTTCGTAAGGATAAATAGGCCATGCCTAATAATAACGCTCATAAATCACTTTTCAATTTTCAATATTTTTTTGTCACAAAATACCTAATTATGGCTTATGTATACGAAATAGACATATGGTATCGCGGAATTTTTTTAGACGGAGTAAAGATCTATATTTTTCTAAAACATTGTTTTTACGTATCTCTAACGATAACACCAGCGTACGCAGATAAATCATTTCGGGAGTGCTTTTTCTACTGACTTGCTTAACAAATATCTATATTTAAGGCTAGCTGAGTGATTTAGCTTAATTCTAATGATCTAGCCTATACTATTCCACATGAATCTGGCTGTAATATACAAAAAGAATTTTTCAAATCGGACTGGTAGTTCCAGAGATTAGCGCGTTTAAACAAACAAAAAAACAAAAAACTCTTCCGCTTTATTATATTAAAAAAACTCTTCCGCTTTATTATATTAAGTATTAGATGAAATCAAACACGATTTAGTGCAAGCAACTGGCTTTCTGTGTAGGCACTCGTACATTTATGGCAACATCTCCTTCTTGATAACATTTTTTTGTTTTATTTTGACATTGTTGTCGCGCTTGTAAATCAGTCAAAATACATTATCATCGTTTTCTTCTAGCAATCGATTCCCGACGTGAACACTTACCAGCAGAAGAAGAACCTGGCGCAAGGCATGATGGACTTGGCGCTGCTGTCCGCCAACGCTAACCAGCTGCGCTACGTCGTGGAGTCTTCCACCAATCATCCATACTTCTACCCCAGCGTCGTCTTCATATCGCTCAGCATTATCTTACAAGTAACTTAATTTGTTATTTAAAAAAAAAAGAAGTGAAGGACTTTATGATTTTTTCATTGTCGTGAAGGCGTTTGTATGTGATAAATATCCAGAGCCGGAACGATATTTGTAGTCTATACGAGTATTTGTTCCGTGGTGGATTCGAATCCACGGCCCTATGCTTAGCCACTGCGTTACTGAGAAGCCAAATTTCTATCATTAACGTTGTTCTCTTATTAAAAGCAGACTGCACTATCCTATTAGTAGGATATTTTTGTAGGTTTTGGCGACTTAACACGACAATCCTTGTTTTACGACGTCTCCAGTGGTAGAGCCACGCGGCATTTTTTGCTGTCGCACGGATGGGCCGGCTCGAACCGGGGTGATACCACGACCTCACAGAAAACCAGCGTGAAGTAGATGTTTACCTCTGCGTTTCGCTTGGTGAGTGCAGGTGGCCGGAGGCCCTTTTTACTGGAAATGAGGCATTCCATCTTAGTCCTCACGGGTGACAACGCATCTACATTTTGATTTGTAATAGAGGATAGATGTAGATGTCTATGGGCCGCAGCACCCACTTACCATCAGGTGGACTGTGTGCTCGTTTGTCACCCTTATCCTATAAAATAAAAAAAATAAATAAAATAAATATCCAAGTGCTAAAAGATCTAGCAGTACTCCGTACTATGATAATATTAAAATTCACCAGAGTATATCTTACAAAGGTCCATGAGTTACAAGCAGTGGCAGAAGTATGGGGAATGAGATTTTAAAACATGAATTTAAGTGATAAGAAAAAGAGTTGATGCACGCGCGACGTCGACAGCTTTAAAACTGACTCAAAATAACTTAAATTATAGAATTAAAAACACGCCGAAACAAAAAGAGCTGATGATCTTCAAAGGACTGAACAGATTTTGTTGAAACAAAGCTAAGAACACTCTAGCACTCTCGATTATAACACCTTTCAAACAAAAAAAAAAAACTAAAGCAAAATCGGTTCATCCTTTCAGGAGCTATGTTGCCACAGATGACACAGACACACAGATACACACTACAAACACATATCACCCCTCCCATAGAATTATTACGTATAGAATACTAGTACGCGCACCAAAAGTGAAGCAAGTAAAACTAACTCGAAATAAGTTGACTCAGCGACCCGTCAGGGCGCAACGTCACGTCTTACGGAAAAGATCTCGCGAAAAATTGTTAAAAAAATGACGGTTTGTGTTGTAAAATATTGTCACAACAGTGAAAAAATTTATGATATTACATTTTACATATAAGTTCATATATGTAATTCATAATAAGTACGTAAAACTAAAAAAATATTTACTGAAGCTATCATAATACAAATGTTGCTAGTTGTGGGGAAAAAATCACAATTTTCTTTTATAAATATTTATTTTCTATTTGTGTTTAAAACTTTTAATCGCAACGGTCTGAGTAAAACTCAAATGTTTATATATAGATACCTACTTCTCTCAGTATTAACATAATATTAACAATGGTTGTCAATTTAAAACTAATACGGAGTGAGCTGATCGCGGTCCGTTGACGCCATTTTAAAGCAACTATTTTATATTAATTGCTTTGTTTATTGACTAAGTCGACGTTTTAGAGTATAGAATAAAAACCTTTTTTCTATTTACAACATCAAGAGATTATTAATAAGAACGCCTTTACTAACCAGATGTTACTGTATATCCAAACATTGATCAGATGTCACTTTACACCTAAAACATAGTCTATTTTTAACCGACTCCCAAAAAGGAGTGGTTATCAATTATGTCAGTATGTACACTGATTTCTAAAACGATTCTAGATCAATTCGTATATACATGCTGACATTTTTTTTGCGCAGACTTGACGACTTCCAGCCTCCCGAACAAGCCGGTTTCCGAAAGGGCTTTAGCACTATAGACCACATACATACCCTTCGGCAAGTTGTACAGAAGTCCGAAGAGTACAATTTGCCACTATGTCTGGCGTATGTGGACTATGAGAAAGCCTTTGATTCCGTCGAAATTTGGGCGGTGCTGCAGTCCCTTCAGCGGTGCCAAGTTGACTGTCGGTATATCAAAGTGTTGAAGTGCTTGTACAGTAAGGCTACGATGGCTATCCGAGTACAGAACCAGAGTACGAAACCTATCCAATTGCAGAGAGGTGTAAGACAGGGTAATGTCATATCCCCGAAACTCTTCACCGCTGCATTGGAAGACGTTTTCAAGCTTCTGGACTGGAAAGGATACGGTATCAACATCAATGGCGAGTACATCACTCACCTTCGATTTGCCGACGATATAGTCCTTATGGCAGAATCGCTGGAGGACCTAAGCACTATGCTCAATGACCTCAATAGTGTTTCCCAACGGATAGGTCTTAAGATGAACATGGACAAAACAAAGATCATGTTTAATGTCCATGTCACACCTATGCCGGTAGTTGTTGGGAGCACTAAGCTCGAAGTAGTTGACGAGTATGTTTACCTGGGACAAATAGTCCGACTAGGTAAGTCCAACTTCGACCGAGAGGTCAATCGACGGATTCAACTCGGCTGGGCAGCGTTCGGGAAGCTACGACACATCTTCTCGTCAGACATACCTCAAAACCTTAAAACGAAATTGTACAACCAGTGCGTGTTGCCAGTGATGACTTACGGAACTGAGACGTGGTCCTTCACTGCTGGCCGTATGAGGAAGCTCAAGGTCGCTCAGCGAGCTATGGAGAGGGCTATGCTCGGAGTTTCTCTGCGTGATAAACTTAGGAATGAGGATATCCGCAGTAGAACCAGAGTGACCGACATAGCCCAACGGATTAGTAAGCTGAAGTGGCAGTGGGCCGGCCATATAGCTCGAAGAACCGACAACCGATGGGGAAGAAAGGTTCTCGAGTGGCAGCCTCGTACCGGTAGGCGAAGTGTAGGGCGTCCCCCCACCAGATGGAGTGACGACATGCAGGACAGGACAGGATAAGACATGCAGGAAGTCGATGGATGCAGGTGGCTCAGGACCGTGCTTTGTGGCATTCTTTGGGGGAGGCCTATGTTCAGCAGTGGACTTGTGAAGGGCTGTAATGATGATGATGATGATGCTGACATTTTAGTGCTTTTTTTCCCGCAGCCAAATTATACTGTCTCGATAGTAGAGTCAATTTATTCTCCATCTCCAAAATATGACAGTTAAAAAAGGGCAGATTTACAATAGTAATACCTCACGAGCTAGTCGGGCCTCCAGACTCCAGACTAGTTTATGTCGTATCACTACACTTGAGAGTTCCTGCTCTGAACAAACATATTAGTGGCCTTTCACTGTGTAGGCAGCGCGGTAGCGCGTGCGATAGACGTAACACTGCGTTACGTTTTTTCAGACTTTATTATAGTAATACGGCATAAGCTAGCCTGCACGCCTGACCTACTTGCGAAATATTGCTATTGGCTTGAGATCGCATTCTAGTTTTGTTTTTCTCGATTGTAAATCTGCCATTTTTGCATCCTAATAATTTTTATTTTAATAAATCTATTGTACTATCAAGACAAACTCATTCGACTTCGGGAAAACAACCATTAAAATTTCAGCGTGTGTATTGGATCAATCTCTGTGTATATACTTTCAAAAAAAATCTAAATCAGTTCAGAAATTATAGAATTCTAAGGTAAAAAAATAAAAAAATACACCTAATTGGGAACTCCTCCTTTTTTGAAGTCAGTTAAAATTAAACATTACACGTGTGCTTATTGTATTCGAACAAATTAATTGTGTTTAATAATATTCTTAAATTTTATTACGTCTGCATTTTTGTACCATTAAAATATGTACAATAAAGTTATATTAGTACCATCATTATCGTGTTTATTTTATTCCATTTTATATTCCATATTTATGATTCTCATAAAATATGTCTTCGTACGTACGTAATCTTTATTATGTCGATTATTTAAAATTAATCAATAAAATAGTGATTTGCACAATTTGATTGCAAACGTCAGAAACTGGTATCACTGAATGGCGTGTATGTTTGCGTGTGACGAGCGTAAGCACATTCGACTTGCGCTCACTAACATAATGACCTTGCTGCGGCCCATAGACATTTATATCTATCCTCTATTACAAATCAAAATGTAGATGCGTTGTCACCCGTGAGGACTAACATGGAATGCCTCATTTCCAGTAAAAAGGGCCTACGGCCACCTGCACTCATCAAGCGAAACGCAGAGATAAACCTTCTACTTCACGCTGGTTTTCTGTGAGGTCGTGGTTCCACCCCGGTTCGAGCCGGCCCATCCCTGCGACAGCAAAAGCTGCCGTGTTTTTTTTTATTTTTCCTTTTTGATATGCATACGTAATTGAAAATAAATTAAACTATTTAAAACATTCTGTTCAATAGGGTTAAACGAAATGTGCACCAATAATTATTAGAATCAATGATAATATAAACCAAAAATGGTTCAAAGTAGCTATGAATATAAAATAAATTTGCTAAAACTAACACGTGAGAACCTCGTCCTAAATCAGAATATTTCTAAATATTAACACAAGTTAGAAAAAAATCTTAGTCAAATTCCTAATACTTACTGCCTTCACTACAAGATTACTCTTATCTTTCAGGTGGCAGTAGGCGTGGGTCTGATCATGAACAGCCGCTACAACGTGAAAGACGAGAAGGACATTTGCAAAGCGGACAAGATCAATAATATGACGGTGCTGGGCGTGTTTTTGGTCACCATTGTCAATGTGTTTATCACGTCGTTCAGTGTTGCCACGCCTAACACTGGTGGTGCTGTCGATGGCATGGTGATACAACAAGCTGGATAAATAGGATAAAGTTTCCATCGCTGGATTAATTCTTAAAAGATTACCATTTTCACTGATATATTGAACTATTTTTGGGATATGACTTAGTTCATTTGGTTTTAGGAATGATCTCAATGCAATGCCGGAAACTACTCCTACGTTTCGAAGACATTAATATATTATTGACGAATCTTCAGAATATATTTACTCAACAGATAAAAACATACTTCTAAAATCATAAGTTTTCAAATTGGCTGTTACAAAGAATAACTGGGGGCCTAAAGGCTCCGTAGGATTTTTAAGAAGACTGTATTAAATATTATTTTTCGATAATTTATAAGATGAATACGTAAACAATGTGTAAAAAGTCGAGATAAAAATATAGATTAGAACTTAATTTGATTTTAAAGAAGCCGTTTAGTTTTTTATAAATGTAAATTCACCTATAAATGTGTGACAGCTTAAGATGCAGGGTTTATTTTTTAGAGAGTATTTGTTCCGTAAATAGTTTTATAACTACTCTGTATCTGTACTCTAAATATCACTAGTCGATCGTTATTTAAAATAGTAATCTCCATCAAAATCTCATTTATCCAAATTCTTATTTCCGTTTTTTGACAAAGTTATTGAAATTTTACCGATACAGGAAGGATACAAACTTGAAATTTGTTGTAATTTGAAGTTTTGAAGGCACCAGAAGCAAAAACTGAACTGGGAACTGAGTTTTTGTATGGTTTCTTAGTTTAGAACTCTTTACTTGTTGCTTATCATTTATGTCTGAATCTCTTTTGTAAACGCTATAGTGATAATATTTATAAAATTAATAATTTACACAAAATATTTTTGATAGGTCATAATTGTTAAAATATTGCTCAAATATACATATATGATAGAATTGTATTTACTGCGGACTAAAATCAAATATTTACAATGAATTTGAAGATCCATTGGCGCAGTATTTTGACACTACAATATTAAAAATAGGAATGCTCTCAAATGCTAATAAAAATAGTTTATTCAGTAAATAATAATTCACTTCACTTCACTTATCTTCACGCACAATCCCTGACGGGGTAGCCAGAGAGAACAGATCGCCAAGTGTCACGATCCTCACATACCTCTTTCGCTTCTTTCAGATTCATTATCTTCTTTATACATGCACGTCTAGGTATCCGAGTACTCTTGACCCTCCCCTCTTCGAGCAATTTGCTCACATGGTCTTCGAAAGTTAGTCTCGGTCTACCTCGACACCTTTTAATATTAACTTTCGCGCTATATATTTTCTTCACCATTCGGTCTTCACTCATTCGCTCAACGTGCGCAAACCACCGAAGCACGCCCTTATCAATTTTTGTGATAAGGTCATCTTTCAAACCTGCTATATTGCGAATCTCTTCGTTTCGCTTTCGGTCGGCCATGGTAACGCCGCACATTTTACGAAGAGATCGCATCTCCACTGCATTCAACTTGCTTTTATGCTTCTTCTGGCATACCCAGGTTTCGTTGCCATATAACAAAGTCGGTACCAACACTGCGTTATGTATTGCAAGGCGTGCACTCTTCACTACGCCTTGCCTTTTGACTAACGCAGTCAAAGCACCATTGACTTTGTTCCCGGCAGCGACACGCCTGTCCACATCTAAATCACATCTTCCATCCCGGCTAAAAGCACTCCCCAAGTATACAATTTCATTTACCTGTTCTAGACATTCCTGATTTACCCATATTTCACACTTCGTTCTCTCTTCGTCCCTTTCAAATACCAGAACCTTAGTTTTATTAGCATTCAAACGGAGACCTTTAATTTCACAATCCTCTTTCATACACGTGACTAATGCCTGCAGTTCTGCCTCTGATGGTGCAATAAGCACTGCATCATCAGCATACGGCAGACAATTTACTTTTGTGTCACCCAATCTTTCAGCTTCTGTAAACAGCTGTCGAGATACAGTATGAACAGCCAGGAAGACATGACACAGCCCTTTTTTACGCTCGTTTGGACGCTAAATATGGGTGAAATATCATGCCCTACTCGCACACAGGCTTTACAGTCACAGTAAAGTGACTGCACAGTGACTGCACCTTAGCAATCGACCATCCACACCATACCCCGGCAACAGTTCCCACATTTTCTTCCTTACAACCTTATCAAATGCTTTCTCAAGATCCACAAACGCACAGAAAATCTTCTGGTTAGCAGCCAGAAGCTTCACCGCGATCATGCGGAGAGAAAACATTTGATCCGTGCATCCTCTTCCAGGTCTAAATCCGCATTGTGCCTCCCACAGAAATCTTTCCGATTTCTCTTGCATGCTAAGTGTCAAAACCTTCGAGTAAACTTTACTTGCTAAACTGGTCAAGCTGATCGCCCGATAGCACCAACAGTCAAAATGTGAACCTTTACCTTTATATAAAGGCACAATGACTGCGGATCGCCAATCATCCGGGACATCCCCCGTCAGCCAGCACAAATTGCACAGCAGATGAAAGCTGTCCCAGACGCGAGGCCCACCATACTTGACCATTTCAGCAGTAACTCTGTCTAGTCCCGCAGCCTTACCACATTTCAAACTTCGAATCGCACGTTCAATCTCTTTCATACTGATGACCGCAGTGTCATCGAGGTCCGGGTCTGGCGTACCAGTCACGGCGTCATCCCCGGATCACTCACTAAGATCATCACACGCATACATTTCTCTATAAAATTCGCTCCATCGCTGCATGACGTCCGATTTTTCTGAGAGGACGTCATTAGTTCTCGAAAGCACTTTGTTCATTCTTAAGGCCGTCGCACCACTTCGGGTCCTTTCAACCTCTTTCCAGAAAAGTTTGGAGTTCTCCTTGAAGTTGTGCGACAACCTTTCGTCCGCTTCCATTCTACACCTTTCACGCACTTCCTCAATAAATGCTTTCGTGTGAACTTTCTGCAGCTTATATCTTTCTTTCATCTTCTCTCTCATATCCTTATCATTACTAGAGGCCAAGTAGTCTGACCATGCTTTCTTTTTCTTCTTTACAGCTTCTTTCACTTCATCATTCCATCATGCATTTCTTCTTTTACTAATGCCTCTTTTTATTGTTCCACACATTTCTTCTGCTGCACTTACCATTCCATCTCTAAGGTTCTGCCATGTTCTTTCCACACATTCTTTTCTACCATCGATGGTGTCAAGCTTTTCGGCTACCCTCGCATGATATTTGTCCCTAGTATCCGCTTCCTGAAGCTTCCAGCCGTACAACGAGTAAATAATCACACATATAATATAACCGGAGATGGAGTCTACTTTCAATAATAAAAGCTTGTGATAGGAGACTCCACTCTTCCATAGCACGTAAGTACATTACTATTTGCATAACCTTTACATAATAATTAACAATAAAAATTTAAAGAATAAAACTAATAACATTCGCGCCAAAGGCGCGCCCGCTTGTGTGTGTGTGTGTGTGTGTGTGTGTGTGTGTGTGTGTGTGTGTGTGTGTGTGTGTCTGTGTGTGTGTGTGTGTGTGTGTGTGTGTGTGTGTGTGTGTGTGTGTGTGTGTGTGTGTGTGTGTGTGTGTGTGTGTGTGGGTGTGTGTGGGTGTGTGTGTGTGTGTGGGTGGGTGTTGTTACAAATAAATTAAATTATTTTAATATGTGTATGTTGCCTAAAAGAGTAACATGAAATAATTATCGATTTGGCGACATGTGAAATATCAGAAAGATCTCATGGCGGTAAACCATCTCAATCATCATTGACATCAGACGTACATCCAGATCGGAGATTCATCACCAATGCCGATTTGAACTGGGTCAAAGGTGGCCCATTCCCACTGCGATTGCTAGTCCGAGTCCCAAGCGTAGTAATTATGGCAAATCCAAAAGCCCTACAACAAGACAATTCAACTGTTGACCTTTACGTCTTTTTAAAAGTTCTTAATTTAAAAAAGTAAACAATTATTTTGTCAAGCCGCCAATGAAACGGACTAATCAGCCCATATGGGCCCGAACTCGCATTTATTAGTTAGGGTTTTTAATTATACCTTTTCTTAGATCTGTACTTAGGATGAAATATTATTTATAAGATTTATTACCAAATTGTTAAATTAATCATTACGTATATAAATTGACTCTGCCTTTAGAATAAGATCTCGTTATACGGTACTTAGTTTATTAATAAGTGCCTTATTTTAAATATTGTATAAAATTGAACAATAAATAATTATTTATTTTACATAGTAAATAAAATATTATTCATAAATGTGTTTCTTTTTCATGAATAAGAATTTAGATAAGAATGAAATACAAAAATCACAAGTCCGAGTATATGAATCAATAAAGAGTTACATGACTGCGCTGTTTAGTCCTGTCAAATAAGTTCTGAAATCAAAATTTGACACTCAATTTTGCATTTTTGGTATAATGTAGTATTAATGATACAAAACCAATGTGTAAAGGTTTTCGTATCCGGAACCCCCGGCAAGGTTTAAAAATAATTGTCTAAAGTGTAAAGGAGATGATGAATTTCTGTATAGATCAAAACTGTACATGTGCTGACTTTGAGATAATAGGTATCGACTCAGGCTCGTATAGTTTTGTGAGTGAAGCTCATGGATGTAGGCGATGGTTAGATCACTGTCTCGTCACTCAGTCAGCGCTAAAAACGATAGCAAATGTTAACATTGACTATGGTGTCTTTTATAATTAATAGAATCAGGCGTTAATTTGCGGAAATCCATTATATAAAAGCTTTTAGAAAAATTTACTTCGCAAATATCCGCGTTATAAAATAAAATGATGTGTCTTACCTACTATGAAGAGCACCTCCTGCCCTCCCTCAATTGCGTGCACTATCCCCGTCACCACTAATCCCATCACCGCCACTCCCAACACCACTACACTAGGCAAGACACACCACTGACGATAATACGACACGTTTTTCGCCTCTACACGAGGCATCCTCAGGTGATATAGACTCTACGGTGGCTAACCGCTAAGTGAGCGGCGAGCGAGACAAGTGCCTTTTATACAGACCGATGACGCA